CATATATATATATATATATATATACTATATATATATATATATTACATTATATATATATATATATATATATGGCACATTCATAGCGACGTAAAGAAGTACCTATTTTCTCTTTGCTGATAGAGCTGCAATTATTCATCTCCAGGCGCTGATGCAATCTCTGCTGACTAAAGACCCTACTCAACGATACGACTGTGACCAAGCACTTGCCCACCCATGGGTCAGGGAGAATGGCACTGCTTCAGAAGCCAACATCCAGACGAAGGTATTGGCATATCTGTTTCCTGGGTAAATACGTACACAGTAAAATGTACGTAGGTATTTTACAGGAACTACGTTTCGTTACCGTATGGTGTGACCGACTGTGGTACTTTTATACTTTACTTTATATCGTCACACTCATACAATAGTAGTCCTCTATCACCTGTAACACCGAGACACTGTGGTGAGTATGAAGATACTGTACACTGCAAATGTTCTGGTTAGAGGCTTTGCTGATTTTTCTGTCTTATGCAGTTAGCAACAATGCGTGTGTGAAACAGCTGCCCTTGGTACCTTATGCAGTTAGCAACAATGCGTGTGTGAAACAGCTGCCCATGGTATCACAAATATGCAGCCCGCTAAGGAATCAAAAATCATGAACATGTACATGTGCATGTGCATGTACATGTTTATAAGTATATTGTACAGAAGTATATGCTAAAATAATCAAATATCAAGCGCATGTACATGCACATGTACATAAGTATAAGCTAAGAAATCGAATATGATGTACATGTGCATGTCCATAAGTATAAGCTAAGAAATCGATTAGCATGCACACATACATTCGTAGTATCTCGCCCTGCGCACTCCACTCACCCAGCAAACAATCAACACTAAACCATAAACCCTAAACAGATCATGCTACAGCAATCAATACTAAACAGATCATGCGAAAACAATCAACACTAAACAGATCATGCTAAAACAATCAACACTAAACAGATCATGCTAAAACAATCAACACTACTCAGATCATGAACGGTCTCACCGCCATCTTCGAGCACAACAAGTTTGAGTTGGCTGCCATGCGATTGCTGGCAGAGGCCTCAAGCGACAGTGAGTATCAGCAGATCCTGCAGAACTTCCAACACGCAGACAAGTAAGTGCAGCGTACGCCTTGAATACTCCGTGTGTGTGTGATACATGTATGTGTGTGCGTGTGTGTTGTACATGTGAGTGTATGTGAGTGTTCCATACATATATGTGTGTATGTGTGTGTCATATGTATGTGTGTATACGTGTTATATATATATATATATATATATGTGTGTGTGTGTGTGTGTGTGTATGTGTGTATGCGTTGTTATATATATATATATATATATATGTGTGTGTGTGTATGTGTGT